TATGAAGGAATATATATTTTCTGCCAAGTGTCTTCTATAGCCTTTTCCTTTGAATTTTATAATAATTGTCAATATAGTGGGCAGGAACAAAAATCTCAGTTTAAGAAATATGCTGGAATGATATTAATGTTCTGGTATGAAGGATCATTATCTGCAATTTCTGGAGCATTCCACTCAGGTTCCTATTCAATTTGTCAGTAGCTATTTAAAAACCTCATTTTATTTATATTCATATTTACTCATTTTGTAGAGATAAACTACAGATATTAATTACGAAACAATGCTTCTTCTTTTCTGGCACAGAAATTGGTGATATTTGTAATTTCTCATGTTACATGACCCTAAAAGTGAACAGGTTTAGCTGTGTGTCCCTTAGCAAATTATAAATGTGATACTGTTTTATTACATTATTACAGCCCATGGGATTTTGGTAGTGATATAGAGTAGGGGTTTTCAACCGGTGGTACGCGTACCACTTGTGGTACTTTGTCACATGGCAGGTGGTACGTGATTGCTAGCCAAGTGTAGCAGGGGAGGGGAATGAGCCAAAGCGAGCCAAGCCTGAGGGAGAGGCAGCTGCAGGACTGTCTGGGCTTGGCAGAAGCCCCAGGAGCCGGCAGGGCTCCAGCTGATAGGTGCTTCCGGAAGCAGCTTGGAACTGGAGGTGAACTGAAGAAAAATGGGTGGTGGAGAGGAGACGCTATAAAACAGCGGTTCTCAACCTATGGGTCGCGACCCCATTTGGGGTCAATCGACCATTTCACGGGGGTCGCCAAGCAAGGCTGTCCGCCATTTTTTCCCCCTTTTCCGGCGGGTGCCTTACCTCCCTTGAGCTGGGCCAGCTGGTGGTCGGCCTGCTCCGTCTCTGCCGCTTGCCAGCTATGCCTCGGCCAGCGCAGGGGGCGGAACCACGCATGCGCAGCGCTCCCAGGCAGGGAAAGTCCTCAACTTACGACCGGTTGGGTAGTCCTCGACTTACGACTGGTTTAGTCCTCGACTTATGACCGGTTTAGTCCTCGACCTATGATCGGTTTAGTCGTCGACTTACGACCGGTTAGGGGTCGCGGCATTAAAAAGGTTGAGAACCACTGCTATAAAAGAACCTGGTTTGGGTGGGGGAAGGGGAAAAAAGACATCAGGAAAGGTTTAATCCCTTTAAACAAATGTAATTAGTTTTACCCTCTTTAATTGAGTCTGTCTGTGGCTTTTAGAAAGTTTTCTTTGAAGGTAACCGGGCTTAATTTAAAGCTAAAGCTATTCGCAATTGCCTTTCAGTCAAGAATGGCAACATTGTGACATGTGACACGCCTGAGGCAGCTTAAAGAGAGGAAAAAAACCAGAGTTTGTGTTTCTTTATTTTCTTGCTTTGCACTTGATTCCTGTGTCTTTAAGGGTACAGGGAAGGAATTGGAAAAGCTCAGCAGGGCCAACCAGCTAGCTCAGGAGCCTACAAACTTAGCAACTTTAAGACCTGTGGACTTCAACTCCCAGAATTCCTCAACCAGCCATGAGGGCTGAGGAATTCTGGGAGTTGAAGTCCTCAAGTCATAAAAGTGCCAAGTTTGAATTCATCGTACATTCATTTGTCAGTGCAAAGGGAAAGTGATTCAGCAAAGGAACAGCCACAGAAGAAATTAAAACTGGTACTTTTTTTACTTTTTTCCCACAGTTTGTAATATTTTATTAGATTATAGAATAAAATACAAAAACACAAAAGCAAATAGTAGGACACAGTGGGGAGGAAAAAGGGGGGGAAAGTGAGGGGGAGAAGGGAAAAAGAACATACTTCCTCTTTTGCAGTAGCAATACATAATAAAGCCATTATATAAGAATAATAAAAAGAGTTGCTAATTGTTGGGATGTTCCAGGCAATATTTGCACGATATGCAGTGGGAGTGAAGAGAGAGAGAAAAAAATCAATTGCATAAGTGAATATTTACACACCTAAAAAGAATTAGAGCTCTAATTTTTGTATATGGCTTTGTAAACTTGTTTAGTGTTTGTGAATATTTTTGTTACAAGTTGTTTGTTTATGAGGTTTTTTAAGGAATAAGCTCTGTCAGATTCAGTGGTCTTCTGAATGTGTATATTTAACTTAATGTTAAAGCATACTGCAGATATCCAAAGCTATGCAAGTGAAATTTCCTTTTACCTCTTCCTTTTTCCTCTCCCTCCACATAGTATTTCTTAAATAAATAGAAACATCGCTGCTTCCTTTTTAGCAAAGCGTTTGCTCAATAAAATTTAGCTCTTAATTAAGTGCAACCTTATTATTAAGCTACTAGTTGGAAATAAGAAAGGAAGAGAGATATATTGCTGCTTCTTTCTGTAATTTTTTCCAGTGATCATTTAACTCTGCACAGTTAAAATAGCACTCTCATTAGCTATTCTTGGATTGTATGCATCCGGGAAATTTATTGAACAGAACCCTCTAAAACATTCTGCAAAAGGTTATTTTAATTTGACAAGAGAAATTATTAAATTAGCAGGAAATTTGTTGTTCTAATAGTATTTATTTATTTCTATCTGAGTGTAAATAAAGACAAATAAGTTTTGTGTTGGGTTGTTTCTTTGTTTTCCCTTTAACTTGCTTCTTAAAAGGTCTTCAATTCAATTCCTTCACTTTCTTTGAAACTGTTTATCAAATTTAGAGGCCACCTACCTCTAATTACTCTGGTAGCTTATAATTTAAAAGTAAAAAAAGACCATAAACTCCCCCCTCTCCCAAATTGTGGTGGATTTTTTTTCTTTTTAACTTTGGCCTACTTTTATTCATGGAAAGCCCAGTAGGGCAGGAAAGAAAGTTATTGTCTAACTTTGACTATCCCAAGTAATGCCTGCATGGTGAAACCTTGATTTAATGGATCATTTGGTGGGGAGTGAAGGTGTCGATTAATCCCAAATGTCCATTACATCTGAAAGTACATTATTTGCAATAATTACATTACTTGTATATAAATACAATGTAATTTAACATTGATTTGCATGAATCATCTGGACTACTTGGATACTAAGGACTTATGCATTATTTCAGGAAGATGTCTGGTTGAAGATTTATTATTTTTTTTGGCTGAATTGAGGACCTGTTAAATTGATGTTTTACTGTACTGTAGCTATGAGAACCAGCAAGGTTTAGTAGTTATGGTGCTGGAGTAAGAGCAGAGAGGTTCTAGCTCAGTGTTTCTCAACCTTGACAATTTTAAGGCATGTGGACTTCAACTCCCAGAATTCCACAGCCAGCATTGCTGGCTGTGGAATTCTGGGAGTTGAAGTCCACATGCCTTAAAATTGTCAAGGTTGAGAAACACTGTTCTAGCTCCTCCCTTAGGCATGAAGGGCAGCTTGATGATGTTGGGCTAATGGCTTCTTCTCGGCCCAAATCGGTGTCAGGCTCTGCAGTAAGACTGCTGAAAAAACAAATGATTGGCTTCCCTATGAGAAGAAGGCGAGTTTGGTTTAGAACAAGCAGGCCTCGTGGCTGAGCTGGAGACTAGTAGTATTTATGTTGCCTTGTATACTAGTTTCATGTTGGGTGTTCATACTACTTTAAAATGACACGAAGATACCGGCTGGTTGTGAATAGCTAAAAGTTCTCCACAAATATTAACAGACCTCACGAGAAGAAAGCATGTGGCAGTCTGGTTTCTTTGCTACATAATAAATCATACTGGAGAAAGATTTTCAAAATGTCCATATAAGTTCTATAATTTAAATGATAGCAAAATCAATGTATGAAAAATATGTTTTGGTGTGTAAAATTCTTTTTCCTGTTCTCTCTCTCTCAGAGCCAGATGTTGAGATTATGAGAAATTTTGCTATCGCTTTCATTTCTCTTGATTGCTTTAGTCACAGTGGAAGATAAGGACTATCCCTGTGCTAACTTTAGAGCAGACATGTCAAACTCGCGATGTCAAGTGATGTCGCGCAATGTATCGGAGCTTTTTCGCCGTTGCCGGCAATGGGGTGGGCGCGGCTCCAGTGTGATGAAAGTGGTCCGCGGGCCGGCAGTTTGACACCCCTGCTTTAGAGTATAGCAAATTATTATGTATAAAAGGTGTGAGCAATTTATGGGCCCTCTGACATTCTGAAATCGGAATTAGATGAATTTTGGATAGTGCTTCTTTGATGGTGTTAAGTGCAGAAAGGCGATTTGGCATTTCAGCATTTAAAAATACCAAAATGGTTAAAAAAGAAAACCACAGCTGTACTGTTTCCAATGATATGTCCGCATCCCTATATGGCCATTTGTGACTCTTCAGCTGATCAGGAGAATAGTTAGGAGCCCAGTCCCATCTTAACTGTGGTGTACAGAGTAACTCCTAAGTTGGAGTAATTATACCTTTAATAGTTGCTTCCAGTTCTCTCTACGGTCCAATCCTGATTTAAATAAGAGGGTTTTTTTTGTTTTTTTTAGGCTTTCTTTTACAACAGGGGGAGGTTAAATGTCTTCTGTACTATTTGAGAATAATATGAATTAGTTCCATGAGTTCAAAAAGCAGCATCTTTCCTCCCTGGCTTTTTCAATTATAGCAGATCTCTTTTGAAACTGACAAGTTAACTCTTTGAATCCTGGGCATGTTCTACAGATTTGCTATAATAGCTCCACTATTGTGCTGCCATCTGGTAGTTTGGAAGAGTGAACGTGTATATTTTTAATCTCAAATGTAGTACTAGATTTGTTTATTGTACTAGGCTGGAACAGATATTGGGACTATGTTAGCTGTCTATTTCAGTTCATGTGGATGGTGAAAAAAACAAAATTGTTTGCTCTGGATTGGTTGATTCAGGTGTGGAACAGTGCAATTTCTTGTCTTTAATTTAGTTTCTTGTCTTAGATCCACCAATCCGTTGTTTCATCTGATCTAATGACTACTGGAATCCTGCTAGCTGTACAGGTTTCCTTGTCTTTCTAACAGCATTAGGTGTGCATATTGGGATTTCGTTCAAGAAAAGAAGTAGATACACCAAGCTGAAGATGATTGGCTGCTCTTTTTTGACAGACAAGTGTGAAAAGGAAAACCCATTCGATTTCCCATTCATTCTGGATTGGTGGATCTGAAGCACAGAAACAGAGTTTCAGGTAAGAAATTCCCTGTACTCAATAGTGTTACAAATGTCTTTTTTTTTTTTTGGTTAATCAAAAATGTTCTTCTGCATCAAGTTCTCAGAATGTTAAAACTTAAATTGTGACAGGTGTTCACCGTATGCACTTTTCCACATGGGTGGAGTTTATCAGTTAACATATCTCTTGACAAATAAAACATTATTTGTGGGCTCTGAATAAAATATATGGCTTTTTTTTTAAATGATCAAAGGAAAATTTGCCAGAAAGCTCTATTTTATGGCTTTGTTAGAGTAAAGATGAGCTGAATTTATAGTAAAAGAATAAGAATATATGTGCATAAGTGCTCTTTGTATATTTTTATTTTCTGATGGAAGCATCAAAATAAGTAATTTTATATATGTGTAAATGAATTGCAAGTCAGGGTTGCATGATTCTGTAAGGAACCGAAGGAAGTGATGAAAAAAAACTTAGTTTTACTAAATAATGTTGGTTCATTGTTTTGTGAACATTAACAAGTCTGGTTTAATACAAGCTTACAAAAACTCCCCAAAATTCATAGCACACAGCATTTTTACATTTTATGCTGCTCTCTTGAAAGATTTTCCAATATAATTGCATTGTTTTATTTTCACTGGTCTGGGCAGTTGTTTTAATGGCTGAATCTTTTTTTTAAAAAAAAACTTTTCTAGTTTGAATAGTCATGAGGTTTTGGCATTTTTCCACAAAATCTCACAATATTTCACTTAGGAATATTATACTCTTATAGAGATTGATGACCTCATTAGGTTTCAGTTATCAAAAATAGATCTTTTAACATTTTTTTTAAGGTACTAGGGAAGTTCATCTCTGGTAAGTAGAAGAGGATCAAATACATCTCTTGTGTCCACAGAGTTAGTGTACTTATGTGATATTCATGTAGTAGACAGCATAAACAAAAGGTTGGGAGCTCTAATATATAAGAAAGGTGGCACATTTCATTATTTAAAAATGAAAGTTCTTTTGCTTAAATGGGCTAACTCAGTTACAACATTTAGAAGTTTTACTCATAATCTCATTTTAATGCTTACAGGAGAAACTGCTACCTGTATTGAAAGTATTTACAAGGATCATCTGGATTACTTACATACTTGGTGTTGATGTTAGTACAGCATATGGCTTTTCTGTTGATCTCTAGTTGAAATTTAAGAACACGGATAAATCTAAAATGTAGGCATTTCTTTTTGAAGAAAGGAAAATTGAACAAGGCAGTGTATATACATTATATACTTAATATTTTTCTCGTGCTGTTTTACTGAATAAAAATACCTCATAACTGCATATATTAAAAACAAATAAATTTGCTGTGTCATCTTTTCAGTAGAGCAGTATTTCTCTCTGATATAATGGTTGACAGCCCAGTTTTGAAGTCATAAATATGTGTTTTGGTCAGTCTCTGCTATGAATTTGGGATATATCGCTGCTTTTATGGATGCGCCGCCTTCATGTCATTGGACTACTAGTATTCCAGCAATTGTCTTTTACGGCAACGAAACTCCTATATGAATAATTGGTGTTGATAGCAGGACTTCCTCCATTCCAATCCTTGAATAATACCAAAGTTACTTTTCCCTTCCACTTATTCACATACCTTTTTTAAAATTGAATTTTTAAGATTATTATTGCCTTCATGGCCCTATTGGAAATCAAACCATGGAGGCCGACTTTCCTGAAATACTAATTTATCCAGTTTATATCTAGATAGCACACAACAAATTAAGCCCCAATCTACAAATCTTACCATTGCTTAGTGTTGAGAGACCTGACCATCAGAGTCAAAGATATTTATTAATGCTTGTATGTGTGTACATACATAGGGCTAGAGCTTCCCATAACTTTGCATCAGTGCAGTTTATTTTAACTATTTTGTTCAGTCAAAGAGTTACACTGAAAATGAGTTTAGGAGTAAAGAACTGAGTAGGTGAAGAACACCAAAAATAATATTTCAAAGAAACTGATAGAGGAGACTTAGTGGTGAAATCTTAAAGAAATGGATCAACTATAATTGTGCCATTGGATTCCTGAGAAGTTGATAAAACCTGGTTTAGACAAATGAATGATACTCATACTCTTTCCATTGGAATTATGTGGTTGATTAAGAACTGCGATTAAAGGGGCTGGAATCCCACCGGCTAGGTTCATGTATGTGCAGCTGTGGTTGTTTAAAATATGATTTGTTGAACAAACAACTTGGGTCCTCAGAAGCTTAAATAATTAGTTGCATAACTCTGGCTGTAAATTGACTAAATACAGATTATGGATACTGACAGTTGCTGTTTTCATAAATTACATTAAAATCGAAACCAAATATAGCTTAATTTGACACATGAACCCTGCCAGAATTGTCTTTATCGTTGAGACCTGGTATTTTGATACTAAAGGGAACTATACTAAATTATAGTTACTCAATGGGAAGACAGTAGAAATTATGAGTAGAAATTATAAAAAATGGATTTTTAACAAATTGCACTTGCTAATTGATGTATTTATAATTTATCTCACATGTCACCTGCATCTACAATACTCCTTTCTTTCCTGGCCTTGCCTCAGCCTCTCTAAAAATCACTCTATGCATCTGATAAATTTAGCTTCAGTTCACCAAAGCTTATGCCTTTTTATAAATAAAGGGGCTGGAATCCCTTTTGTCAAACAAAAAAGGTGCTACCAGGCACCTGATTTTTGGCTACCACAGATTAATACAGCTCTTTATCTACGGTATCCATGTTGCAAAAGTTTAGATTAGATGAAAACTGAAAATAGAACAAAGTACATTGTTGGCTTTGTGTATTTTTCTTATAGTCTTAAGTACACTTTAAAAATGATAGATATACTTGGATTTTTCACACTGGAAGCTAAATGCAAGACAGATATTGAAATATACTGCTTAAAATGCTTTTTGCAGGAAATAGCCTAAAATATTCATATTGAAGGATTTGTGGCAGCAGGTATAAGTGCCTTTTAAAATTTAATGATGTAAGTATGTAAAAGGAGAGGAGAAGCAGCAGCATTTGGAAATAACACTAAACCACCGCATATGGTTTATATAGCTTAGCTCATATGTGGATCAGAACCTTCCATTTAAATTAACTGCAGTTAATCAGATTTACTGAGGTAACACAACCTGTGGTATATGGCTTGAAATTGGCTTGTACCTATTAACTGTAGTTATATTCAGGGCTTTTTTTGTCACAGAACGCCCAGAATGGAGTTCCGGTACCTTTTTTGGATGGAACCTTGTAGGGTAGGCAAGGCGGGTTGTATGACGTGTGAGTTCCGGCACCTTTTTTTTTTTTTTTTAGAAAAAAAGCACTGGTTATATTTATCCATTGTATTGGCTGACTAATGTGAAAGAAAGTATATACATTATTGTACACCAGAGGACATAGCAGTCCATAAAACGTTTGTAGTATAGATACTATAGGTTGACTGCTATAGTGTAATAATGTTCTATTTTAATATATAATTTAATATATAATTTAGATTATTTGAATGGTTGGATGGCCAAAGAATTTGATTCCAAATTATACAGAATTAAAATAAAAAAGGACTAGGGGTAATTCCAGAAGGATCTCCCCAGGCTAGGAGAATGAAATGGAAATGGAAAAACACACATACCCACACTTACGTGGGTGCAACACAAAGAGTTGTACAGTCTTATCAGCTGCTAACTAGATAAGGGATCTTGGAGGGTAGGATGAATAGCTAAATACAGGTAGTCCTCAACTTACAAGAGTTCATTTAGTGACCATTCGAAGTTATAATGGCACTGGAAAAAAGTGACTTATGACCATTTTTCACACTTAGGACTATTGCAACATCCCCATGGCCACATGATGAAAATTCAGACACTTGGCAACTAGTTCATACTTACAATGGTTGCAGTGTCCCGGGATCATGTGGTCCACTTTTGGAACCTTCTGACAAGCAATGTCAATGGGGAAATCAGATTCACTTAACAACCCGTGTTGCTAACTTAACAACTGCAGTGATGCACTTATCAACTGTGGCAAGAAAGGTCGTAAAATGGGGCAAAATTCACTTAATAAATGCCTTATTTAGCGACATAAATTTTGGGCTCAATTGTGGTCGTAAGTTGAGGATGGCCTGTAAATATATTTCCAGGAAAGAAAAGAATAAGCTACTATATTTGAAACATTGAATGTTGTTACAGAACTAAAAGAGGGACAGAAAACTGCTACCAAAGCAACCAGAAATCTGAAACAGTCATCAGTTGTGGAAATAATACGATTGGGAAATCTTAAAAACAAGATAAAATACAAATTAGTGAGGAATTACAGAAGCTGATCAAACAGATTTAGATACAGGTAGTCTCTGACTTACGATCACAGTTGGGAGCAGAATTTACATTGCTAAGCAAGGAGTTTGTTAAATGAATTGTGCCCAGTGTTACGACTTTTTTGCCACAGTTAAGTGAATCAGACAGTTGTTAAATGAATCTAGCTTGCACCATTGACTTTGTTGTCCAAAGCTGGCTGGGAAGATTGCAAATGGCAATCCCATTACCCTGGGATGTTGCAATCATTGTAAATACATGCCGATTGCCAAAAAACCCCAAATTGTGATCATGTGACTGCAGGGGCAAAGCAACGGTTGTAAGCGTGAGGACTGATCATAAGCCACTATTTTCAGTGCTTTTGTAACTCTGGAACAGTTGCTAAACGAATGCTTGCAAGCTGAGGATGATCTGTTTGCAGGATAAAGCTCAGCATTGATAGTTTTTTGACGGAAGGATGAACTTCACATACTATCCTCTCTATACTGGCTCCTAGGACAGACATGTCAAACACGCGACATCACGTGATGTCACGCAATGTATCAGGACAGTTTTGGCATTGCTGGCAATGGAGTGGGCGCGGCTTCCGCATGACCCATCTGGCCCATGGGCCGGCAGTTTGACACCCCTGCCCTAGGACATATGTAGGTAGATACTATTACTATTCATCTGCTACTTATAGATTTTTTTGGGTAGAATTAGATTGGGGAAGCTTGATTCTAGAACTTATATGTTTAATTTTTTTCATCAACAATGCTTCCAGTGCTTATAAGAACACTTTATTGCTACCAGGGGGTGATATTTTTCACCATTTTTAACAGCATATGTACACATACATGCACACACACATACACACACACTGGTTGGCTTTTGTATTTGGATCTGGAATTTTCTCCTAGGTCAGACTAGCAAAGATGTTATGGCTTCCTTCTTCCTTTTCATTGCACCTTTGTTTTGGGCCCATTGTGATCTGGATGAATTGAAGGAAGGACCCTTTAGATTGGTATCCTTTAGATTTCTTGGGCAGGATTACAGCTGTGATACTCCCAAGTGTGGGTGGAAAGAATTTCAGTTTAATACTACCAAGGATAGCAATTTGGGAAAGACGGGACAGGTGGGCGATTGGCCCTGTCTTATTAAAGAAGGTTTGGATGTTTTCAGGTAATTATCTAGAATATTTTTAAAAGTAATTAAAATAGATACTTGGGTATCAAAAGTTATATGGATAATCTTGAGTTTTTTCCCCTGTAATTAGATTACGCTGCTCCGGTTGCAGCTCTTTAAGGGAGGATGTTTGATTCCTTTAGATCCCTGTTTCTGTATTGAGGACAGAATGAAGTTGGACTGGGATTTAGAAGAGACTTTGTCCTTGAATATTTAGATATTGCCAACCACATGGTAGCAACTGAATATCTGATAGCACAACTATTATTTAACTGCCATAATTTGAAAACAAGCAGTCCTATAGATTGTGATAGTACTATGGTATATATGTGTATATAAAAACATTGGATTGGATTCAGATTGCCAGATGTCTAGTGGAAAAAGGGAATGCTCTTTCAGTCAGTTCTTCTGCCACCTGCATTCTCCTCATGTCCCCCCTCCCAGACCTGTTATGAAGGTTTGAGAGGCCTTTTGAAATAATTGTGTAAAGTTGCACTGGAGAGGAAAGGAGAAACCAGAAAATATTTTCCCCACACTAGGGGGGTCAAACTCAGAACGTCATGTGACATGTCGTGACGTATCGCAACTTTTTTGTCATTGCCGGCAATGGGGTGGGCGCGGTTTCGCTATGATGCATCCGGCCCGTGGGCCGGCAGTTTGACACCCCTGCCCTACATCTATTGCAGTGTTTCTCAACCTTGACAATTTTAAGGCATGTGGACTTCAACTCCCAGAATTCCACAGCCAGCATTGCTGGCTGTGGAATTCTGGGAGTTGAAGTCCACATGCCTTAAAATTGTCAAGGTTGAGAAACACTGATCTATTGCTTCATTTTGATCCCTTTTATCAAATTGCCAGTGCCAGCTGTAAAAAAATTTTTTTTAATGCAACCCTCTACAGTTTCTTTATTCTGACTTAAAACATTAGCCTGTCTCATTGGCCAAATCAATTTGTACACTGATTAATAAAGCTCCATAGCTAAAAGAGTCTGGGATCTTCTGAATATAGAGTATATTCTTTATCAGTGAAGTGTACATTGTTGCATCAAACCTTTAAACAAATTTAGACAGTATGGTAATTTCCACTTTAACAATTTTGGAAATGTAGTTATTAGAGCCAATTTGTTGATATTTTCTAGCCCTACAGAGGCAAAGCCCTTACACAACATTGATGCTATATTAATTCTA